GTCCCGGCCAGGGAGTTCAGTCTTATGAGCTGCCTCCGTCCCCTTGGCCAATGTTTTCCCCAGCCTGACCACCTGTCCTTGGGATCGGAGAAACCCGGGCTCTGAAGGGCAGCCCCCAATCTGGGAGACTCCCCTAGGAAGCGGGGGCCTAATACGGGCCGAGGGCGGTGTTTGGTCCCCCCCGAAGGCTCTCCCCTTGGCCGAGTCTCTTCCGGCAAGGCCCAGGCGGCCTCTGCCGGGAGGCCACCCCTGCTGACGGCCACCTCCGCCTGCCCGTCTCTCCTGCAGGTGTGGGTGCCAGCCAGGTGATGGCCGGGGGCTCCGGCCCCGTTCAGGTGAAGGACTCCCCTCTCCTGCTCCAGCAGATCGAGGCCATGCAGCTCTCCATCAAGCACCTGAAAAACGAGAATAACCGCCTGAAGGTGAGCAGCCCCGGGTGGCCCCCCGAGATGCCCGGAGCAAAAGCTTCCCCCCCAGGGTGGCCTTGGTTCTCCGGCCACCCACCCACCCCCCCGACTCTGACTCCCCTTCCCTTCCTTCGCCGTCTTCTCGGAAATGGTGGGGGGGGGAGGAGGAGGAGGACGGCCAAGTCGTCCCCTTGAGCTGCACCCAGACGTCCCTGCCCCCAACCTTGTTTCTCAGGGAGCCCAGATGAGGAGGGAGTTGGCCTCGCTGCCCCCCCTGCACGTCCCCAAGCTCTCGCTGCCCAAGGACAGGCAAGGGGAGGAGGTGGTGTCCAGCTCGCTGTATCGCAAGACCAGCGAGCTGCTGGAGACCCTCTACCACATGAGTGCCAATGCCCAGGTGGTGGACGTAACACGGCGTAAGGCAGGTGCGCCACGGGGGCTGGGAGCAGCAGATGGGGTTGGGGGGTTGGGTGGGTGGGACTCTCCTCCTTCCTCTCTTTCAACGGTCTCCCCTCCCTCCTGCAGTGGGCAGTCCAGCAGCTCAGCTCCTGAAGCAGACCACCCGCCTGGCATCCCTGAGCGAAGACATCGAGAAGCTGAAGGTAGTGCCTGCCGTGGGGGTGTGGGGCGTGTGTGTATCTGTGGGTGCGGTTCTTCCTAAGGGGGTCTGGGAGAGAGGGTCACTTCTCGCTCTGCGGGAGGCCCCACCCACCCAATGCTTTAGATCAGAAGCCTCCAAACATGGCCACTTTTTAAGCCTTGTGGACTTCAGTGCCCAGCCTAGCTGGCTGAGGAATTCTGGGAGCTGAAGTCCACAAGGCTTCCTTGGAAGCCCCACCCCCAGTTTTAGGCCTTAGGCTGCTCCAGAGCGACCGCTGTGCTTCCCCTCTGCTCCAGGATGAAGTCAGGAAGGAGACGATCCTGCAGCACCCCGGGGCCAGCATCCCTACCGACTTCGGCACGTTCCCCTCGGTGCCTTTCCTGAAGGTGGGTTTCTTCTGACAGGAAGAGAGGCGGTGGGGCGAGCTGCTGCCAGCCCTTCCAGCATTCCTCCACCCGCTCTTCTTCCTCTCCTCCCCCCCCCCTCCAGGCCAAAGAGGAGGAGAAGGACAGCGCCATCTACGTGGGCCGCGTGACCTTCCCCTGCCAGCCGGGCCATGGGCAGCGGTACAAGCTGGTGCTGACACCAGAACAGCTGCACAAACTCCACAGCCGCCTGAACTCCTAGGAGAGCCGCCTGCCTCTGCGGTGCCCTGCCTATACCCGCCCGCTGCCCCACCACGGCTCCCCTTCCCAGAGGCCAGAGGGGGAGTCGGTCTTCGTGGTGAGACGGGAGGGCGGCTTTGACGGAGAAGGGATGCTTCCTTGTGCCTTCTCTTCACGGCCTTCCTTTTCCTCCGCTGTTTCGGTTAAGGATCCCAAACGGGGTTCCCTGGGGGGAAGAGCCCAGGGATCCACAAGCACTACAAGAACGGGTCCTTACTTGCATGTTGACTTCCTTGGAGGAGATTGGAGGTGAATCAATAAAGCTCTCTGCAACCCAACCTGAGCCGTGGCTTCATTCAGGCGCTGGACTGCAGAGGCTCTCCCTCGCTCTCCCCCTTGGCTGCTTTGACTCCTCCAGGCCACAGCTGGGCCCTCTGGGGAAGGGGCCTTGGTAGGGGGCCGCTGCTCTGGAGGTCTGCTGGGGGTGGCAGCCCCCACATTTCATTCAGTAAAGCGTCTTGGTGCACCTGAAAACACAGCTGCAATTAACCCTGGCCAAGGGTGGCCTGGCCCAGTTTATGGCTTTGCTGAGGGTGGGGGGACGGTACTTGCAAGGTCGTCTTTTTTTTTTTAAGTTTTATTGATTTTAACAACAAACAAAAACACATCAAACATAAAAGCATCATCCTCCTTCATAGATTTACAAACAGTGTATCGGTTGGTTTACCACTTTTTTTTGTGCATCCATTTCCTAGTCGCCATTATAGTTATATTACATAATAACTCATATTATCAATCAACAATTATATAACCTGATATCATTACTAGGCAATCATTTGACTATAATTTTGTTAATTCGCACTTTAACGAGATAGCTATAATTTAGCAAGTAGGTCTTCGGCAGCACACATACTAAAATTGGAACGATACAGAGAAGATTAGCGTGGCCCCTGCGCAAGTAGCTCTTCTTTATACACAACTGGTTTTGGGGAGGGGGGAGTTGTGTTGAACTGACCTCAAGCTGCTTTAGGGCCACTTCTTTATGCCAACCACAGAAGGCAGCCAGGCATTTTGCCATTCCTAAGCCCACCTCAATTCCAGCAAGAGCTGCTCCAAAGAGATGTCTTCCTATGTTGAATTTTTTGCGGGTGGGGGAGGAAATGGAGGCAGCCGGGCCCCAATTAAGGCTGCTGGAAACGGCTCTGTGGTCGCCCTCGTTCCAGGGGCCCTCAAAGTCTCTCCAGGGTGAAGCCAGCGGCTCTTTTCAGCTGCTTTCTATACCACTGAGTGTATAAGCGCTTTTGGTGCCTGGCTGGCTGCCATTTGCCTTGGAGGGGAGGGGGCCCTTGTTCCTGAGTCACCGAGGCCCCCACCCAGGACCTGAGTGGAGCTGTAGGTCCTGTACCCCAGGCCCACCCACCTCATTCCACTTTGCCTGGTTCCATCATCCAGCGCCAGGGTCAATTGGCTTTCTGCAGGCTTTTCTGCATTGCTTACGCTGCCAAGACACAATGGTGTAGTAGCAGGAGTTATAATTCACCCTAAAAAAAAAAAAACAACTGGTCACGTGGGTTTCAGGTTTTGCTACCACGATTGGAAAATAAACCAGCAAGAAACCTTGCTTTTCGAAATGTTTTTATCTCCGCTGTAGTAATTGCAGCACTAACTGACCAGCAGAAATAGTTAGGGCTTACCCCAGTGGTGGTATTCAGCCAGTTCTGACCGGTTCTGGAGAACCAGTAGCGGATATTTTGAGTAGTCCGGAGAACTGGCCTATCCCACCTCTGACTGGCCCCGCCAACCCCCATCTCTTCTCTGCCTCCCATCGAGTCCCAGCTGATCGGCTGGGTCTCCTTTGGTTGCCCTGCACAGGAGAACGGAGCTGGAAAGCAGGTTAGTGGGAATGCCTAAGCCACACCCACCAAGCCACGCCCATAGAACTGGTAGTAAAAAAACTTGAATCCCACCACTGCTTCAGGAGGAGCAGTTGGCTTTTGAAGCTTGGTCCCATATCTCACCTCTCAGCCGCTTTTGCTCAAAGCTTTGGAAGAGCAGAGGGAATCCCTTCATTCAGCACCCTGACTGGTCCACCTATGGAGCAAACCCTCACTGGACAGCAGGGCCAAGAACCGGATGCAGGACCCTAATCTGCACCCCAGACCCAACTGGCTTTTCTGGGCAGTTCCACCCCGCTGCCGGCTGTGGGGTTTGACCCCTGGATCTCCTTCCTGCGCATTGGCCAAGCTGGTGACCACCCATCCTGGAGATTCTCAGCCATCCAGGTCACGGTTGTCCCAGAGGTGCTTTTTTTGGGAGGGGCAACTGGACTTTCTTGGTTTTTTTCCTTCAAGATGTTTCGTTTCTCATCTAAGAAGCTTCTGTTGGAGCTGAAGCTCCGGGACTTGTGGGTGCTCCGTCACTGGTTTACAAGAACAGACAGATACGAGCCTCAGTGGAGCAGTGGTTAGATCAGGGGTCACCAACCTTTTGGACCACCAAACTCATCCTTTTAAATCCTCCACCCCGTTTTCCTACCGATCAATCGTTCTTTATTTGGGATTGCAGGATACCGTCTCCAGCTCCGTTTTCATTGGGGGGAAAGAGATTTTTGGCTTCATGCAAGGAAAGCAGCAGAAGTCTTTCTTTCACTCCCCCAGACTCTGCCAGAAATGAGTCTTTTGCCAGCGCAGCCTTGTGGAGCAGGATGCCTTGCAGGGTCCCAGAAAGACTCATTTCTGGCAGAGTTTGGGGGAAAAGAAAGACTTTTGCTGCTTTCCTTGCATGCAGCCAAAAGCAGAAGAAAGAAGCGGAAAGAAGCAGCCCGGTGGCCAGGCCAAGCGCTTGGGATGCATGGGGCAAGTTCCCCCCCCCCCTCACTACCTCATCTTGTTTGCAATGCAAGCGACGCAAGCCTTGTGTTCCCGTGGGCCATGTGGGCGGCACAGCCTTGTGTTCCCACACAACCTGGATTAGTTGCTTTGGGGTGTGGGGGGGTGGCATTTCTCTGCGGACCACGAGTTGGCGACCACTGGGTTAGAGTGCAGCACCGCAGGCTACTTCTGCTAACTGCCAGCTGACTGCAATTTGAATCTCACAGGGCTCAAGGTTGACTCAGCCTTCGGTCCTTCCCAGGACAGTCCACTGAGGACCCAGATTGTTGGGGGCAGGAGGCTGACTCTGTGAACGGCTTAGAGAGGGGCTGTAAGGCACTATAAAGCAGTAAAGTGCTATTGCTATTTGCCTGAAAAGGGTGTTTTTTTTCCCCCCCGTCCGAGCAGGAGGCTGGACTAGAAGACCTCCAAGGTCCCTTCCAACTCCTTTATTCTGTTAATAACTGAACAGCTGCTCTCTCTCAACCTGGGGTGGATGTGAAAATGCCCAGAGACCCAAACTGCCCTCCCTCCCTTTGCCTGGCTGGGCACCACTTGCAGGTGCAGAGACTGTGCCACGGGGGAGGGAGGGGGGGAGAGACACTCTGCACCTCCTCAGAAGCCCTTCAGCCACTTGGAGCAACACTCCAGTGTCTCCTAGGCCAGGGGTCCTCAAACTTGGCCACTTTAAGACTTGCGGACTTCAACTCCCAGAATTCCTCAGCCAGCAAAGCTGGCTGAGGAATTCTGGGAGTTGAAGTCTGCAAGTCTTAAAGTGGCCAAGTTTGGAGGCCTCCGTCCTAGGCCGAGAATTCAGCCAGTGGCTCAAGTCTCTGCGCATCTATTGAGGCGTTCCCCCTGCGGCCTTTTCTACCTCGCCCAAGCAGGACCGGGCCCTTCCGCCAAGATCAGGCTCCGCAGCGCCAGGAGGTTTTCCCAAGTACCCCCCTCGCTCCCCGGGCTGATTCCCGAAAGGCCTCACGAGGCACGGGGTTTCCCGGCAGGAGCTGCCACCCCCACCCCCCCGCACCTCATCCCAGCGCGCGGAGGAGGCCGGCGTCCATTGGCCGGCGAAGCACCTTTGTCTCCGCCCACCCGCACCCCGGCTGGCTCAGCGCAGGCGCGCCCGAGACAGGCCGGAAGGGGCGGGCGGCCCGTCGGGGAGCGTTTCCGGCTGCGTGGGACGGGCGCGTGCGGCCTTTTCTTCGGCAGCCGCCATGGTGAGCGGAGGGTCGGAGGGAGGGCGGGCGGGCGGCGTGGCCGGGCCTAGCGGGGTCTCTCCCCCGACCCTTCCCTTTCCCTTCCCCCGCTTCCAACGCCTGACTCTCCCCCCCCACCCTCCCCGGCGTCCCGCAGGTGCAGCTGCACGTGCTGTTCGAGCACGCGGCGGGCTACGCGCTGCTGGCGGTGCGGCCGACGGAGGAGGTGCAGCTGCTGCAGCCGCAGGTGGAGGAGAGCGCGCTGAGCCTGGGCCGCTTCCTGACCCTGGTGCGCCTCGAGGCCTTCTCGCCCTTCCGCTCCGCCCAGGCTGCGCTGGAGAACATGAACGCCGTCTCGGAGGGTGAGAGCGGTGGGCGGAGGGCTGGGCTGGGGCCGGGCGTGTGTGGGGATATTCCGCGCTTGACCGACTGCCCATCCCGCAGGGCTGCTGCACGAAGACCTGCGGCTGCTGCTGGAGACGAGCCTGCCGGCCAAGAAGAAGAAGGTCCTGCTGGGCGTGGGCGACCCCAAGATTGGCGCCGCCATCCAGGAGGAGCTGGGCTACCCGTGCCAGACGGGCGGCGTGGTGGCCGAGCTCTTGCGAGGTGAGCGGGTAGCGGACTGGGAGGGGGTCGCGCGGGGGAGGAAGGGCTGCATGGCCCGAGCTCTGACGCCCCTTCTCTCCCCCCCCCCCCGCAGGGATCCGCCTGCATTTCCACAGCCTGATCAAGGGCCTGACCGCCCAGGCGGCCTCCAAGGCCCAGCTCGGGCTCGGACACAGCTACTCCCGCGCCAAGGTGAAGTTCAACGTCAACCGGGTGGACAACATGATCATCCAGTCCATCAGCCTCCTGGACCAGCTGGACAAGGATATCAACACCTTCTCCATGCGGGTCAGGTGAGCCGGCTGCCCTCCCTTTGGAGGTTGTGGGGGTGTGTGTGTGTTTCTGCAGTGTGTCTGGCTGGACTTGAACCTGCCCTCCAGGCACCCTTGGTCCCTGTGGTTGTGGGGTAGGCTGGGCTTTCCTGCCTCCTTCAGCTTACCACAGGCAGCTGGGACCCCACCGCTGGCTGTATAGAAAGAGGAGGCACAGCAAAAGGCCCTCCGTGCACCCCAGTCGGGCCACCCCCGTGCCTGAGCTGTTTGGTTTGTGCGGGCACAGCCTTCCCTTGCGCAACAGGGGAGGAAAAGGCGGAGCCAGGAGTGGCTCCCTTTTGGTTCACGTGCTTTGTCTCTCTTTGTGGCGGCGCAGAGAGTGGTACGGCTATCACTTCCCAGAGCTGATCAAGATCGTGAGCGACAACTACACCTACTGCCGCTTGGCCAAGCTAATCGGGAATCGCAAGGAACTGAGCGAGGAGAGCCTGGAGGCCTTGGAGGAAGTTGTCATGGACTCTGCCAAGGCTCAAGCCATTCTGGATGCCTCCCGCTCCTCCATGGGTCAGTGGCAAGAGGGGGGAGGAGAGAAGGCTGGAGGTGGCATTTCACTGGGGCTTGTCAGAGGGAGGCCATTCCAGAATAAACCTTAGAAGAGTGGTCAGTAATTTACACGACCGTGTGGTTGGTCAGCACGTTGTGATACGAATTTTAAAGACTTTTTGCTGTGTGTAGAAAAGCATGCAGGTTGTCCTATAAAGGACTCAGTTGCCTGCCTATTTGAACACACACACCACACACACAGACCAAGAGTTAGAGTTCTCCGTGGCCATTTCCAAGTTCAGCTGTAATATAAGTCACAGTCCTGGGTCCTTCTTGGCAGGCCATGTGCTACATCCCGGCTAAAAGACCAGACGACAGTTGCTTGCTCCCGGTCAGGGCCCTTATCCCCTCTCCCCAATGCTGGGTTCCCTACAGGAATGGACATCTCGCCCATTGACCTCATCAACATCGAGAGCTTCTCCAGCCGAGTCATCTCCCTCTCCGAGTATCGCAAAGGTTTGCAGGAGTATCTCCGCTCCAAAATGAACCAGGTGGCTCCCAGCCTCTCGGCCTTAATTGGAGAAGTGGTGAGTGGTTTGGGGGCCTTTGGGCTTGTAAGTAAGGGGTGAATGGGGCAGTTTTCGTGTACCTACGTTGTGTGGAGTGGGCTGCTCTGGCCGCAGACATGATGTGCATTTGAATCTGTCAATCCACTGAATCTCAGTGCTGAAACTTATAAATACTGATCTGGGCCAGGGCTGAGGCAGGCTGCTCCTTGGGGTTGGATGAAGACAGGCAGGCAGAAGGAACAAGCCTCACTTCTGCTCCCAGCCCAGGCTGGCTGGACAGAAGGGAGAAGGGGGTTATTTGGGGGTTTAGGATACAGAAGGCTTGGGGAGTGGGTGGGCAGAGCGGTGGCTGCAGTTCTTTTTGATTGGCTGTTTGCCTCTGCACTCGCAGGTTTTTTCATATTGCTTTGATCAAGAGTTTAATTTTTTGTAGCCAGCCACTTAGATTGACTAGTGCAAGATGGGCACTAGCAAATTGCGCTAAAGAAATAAATCTACGGTCTGTACCCTGCACAGGTGGGGGCTCGTCTCATCTCCCATGCAGGCAGCTTGACCAACCTGGCCAAGTACCCAGCCTCGACAGTTCAGATCCTGGGGGCAGAGAAGGCCCTCTTCAGGTAATCCGCTGGGTGGGCCGGCGCACAGCCTGCCCCCCCCCCAAAGCATTTGAGCTTAACAGGGACCCAGAACTGCTGCTGGCCAGGCCCCTCCTGGCCTGCAGCCAGACCCCTCCCTCCCTCCCTCCCTCCTCCCATGGGGATGGCCAACCTGGTGCCAAGGAGGTTGTCTGCATGGTTGTCTCCTGCCCTGCAGGGCCCTGAAGACCCGGGGAAACACCCCCAAGTACGGCCTGATATTTCACTCCACCTTCATTGGGCGAGCAGCGGCCAAGAACAAAGGGCGCATCTCTCGCTACCTGGCCAACAAGTGCACCATCGCCTCTCGCATCGACTGCTTCTCAGGTGGGCTGCAGGAGCTTCCAGAGCCCGCCCACCCCCTCGCCTTCTCCCCTTGGCTAGAGAGGGGAAGGGAGCCAGGACGGGTGCAACCCACCAAGAAGCTTTCTGCCTTGGCCATGATGGTTACATTTTTCGTCATCAGCATTTCGCGCACCGAGCGAATGTTGACATCAGAAATATCTGAGCCGAGGCAGCAGCTGGAGGGAATTCCCAGTGGCGGCACTTCCGGATATACTGTGAGCAGCTTTAGCTCAGTCGGCCGTTCTTCTCTCTTCCCTTTCCAGAAGTGCCAACCTCTGTCTTTGGGGACAAGCTGCGGGAACAAGTGGAGGAGCGCCTGGCCTTCTATGAAACCGGGGAGGTTCCTCGCAAGAACCTGGAGGTCATGAAGGAGGCTGTGGAGGAGGTGAGGGCCGTGGGGGGCATGCGGGGGGTGGACTTGCGCTGTTGGGAGTGATGAAAACTCAAGAGCCTGACCAACCTTATGCGTGGAGGCCAAAGCTGATTTAATGAGCCTGATCCAACCAAGCGCCCTTCGCACAATGCTGAGGGCCTTCTTGGCGAGGGTGGTGGAGCCCAGCCCCAGTGACCGTCCTCTCGCTCCACAGGCTTCGGAAGTAGCAGCTGCCATCAAAAGGAAGCTGGAGAAAAAGCAAAAGAAGAAACTGAAGCAGGAGAAGAAGCGCCTGGAGGCTTTGGCGGCGGCTGCAGAAGCAGCCGAGATGCAGAACTCCTCGCTCCTGGAGTCTCCCGAACAGGTGGGGAGGATCTTAGTTTGCTTGATTGTCGTTGCGCCTCGTAGAAGGAAATCACAACGCCGTCTTTAGTGCACGTCATGACCACGAAAACAAACACAAACACACAAACCTTCACCCTCCACACATGGAACTGAAAACCCCCAATACTGCACTATACAGCAGAATTCAACAGAGCTCCTGCCCTGGGATAGAAGCTGTTTTCAGCCTATTTGCCCTCGTTTTTATTATTATCCTGTACCGTCTGCCAGATAGTTCAAAAAAAGGGGGTGCCCAGGATGAGATGGATCTTTGAGAATGTTTTGAACTTTCTTAAAGCAGCAGGAGCTATAAAGCTCTTCCAAAGAGGGGAGAGGGCAACCCATGATCCTCTGGGCAATGACGTTAACCCTCTGGAGTGCTGTCCTATCTGCCCCTGTGCAATTGGCAAACCATACAGAGGTGCAGTAAATTAAGATACTCTATGGTGCAGCGGTAGAAGGTCACCAGCAGTTTTTCATCCAGTTGTTTCCTGAGAAGTCTCAGGTTGTATAATCTCTGCTGGCCCCTTTTGACCAGGGCTGCAAGGTGAGCACCTCAGGTCAGGTCCTCTTTTAGGGTAACATCCAGAAACTTAAAACCAGCCACTTGCTCCACTCAGTCTCCATTGATAAGCCAGGGCTGGATGTCTGATCTGTTCCTTCTATAGTCCACTATCAGCTCCTTGGTCTTATTGATGTTGAGGACCAAGTTATTGTCTCCACACTATGAAAGCAACCGGTCCACCTCATAGGCAGACTCATCCCCCTCCCGAGATGACTCCCACCACTCCTGGTTGCAGCTTGCGAGTGCTGCCAGCGTTGAAGAGGCCCAGGGGAGCCAGCCTCCTCCTCCTCTGGGAAGGCCGTCCCAAAAGCTACAAAATCAGTGTTTTGTAGTGTGGTGGTTGTGGTGAGTGTGAGGCTGCACTGAGGTTGCCTTCCTTTTTCACAGGAGAACGAGGGGAAGGCCAAGAGGAAGAAAAGGAAGTCCCAAGAGGTGGAGCCAGAACCCACCAACAACGGCCTGGGAGACGAAGAAGCGCCTTTGCCCAAGAAGAAGAAGCACCGGCAGTCTCCGGTGGTAGCGGTGGCAGAGGAGTCCCCAGCCCCCCAGGGGAAGAAGACGAAGAAGAAAGCCAGGGTGGAAGAGGACAACAACTAGAGCACACAGGGAATCCAGCCGATGCAAAGTCCGTCCAATTTCGCTTCTTCAAGCAAAGCTTTGGGGTATTTTTTTCCCCACAACCCAGAACTTTTAAAGCAACGAGACGGCAGCCCACTGGGCATCTCTGACGTGTGGAAGGAAGGCTGCTCTGAGGGAGACCAGACAAGGCAGCTATGGACGGCCAGGCTTCTCCCCAAAGGCAGACAGGAATGCTCTGGGCTTCTGGCAGAGGGAGGAGGAGGAGGAGAAGCGGGTCGGGCCGAGACCGCCCACGAGTCCCTGCGCTTGTCCCATCAGTGGGGATATGGGGCTCTAGCAGGAGCGCCTGCTGCAGGACTGGAAACCCAAATGGTCTTTAACTCACGTGATGTAGTAATAAAATGCGCTACTTTTTTGTACAGCATTTCCCTTCCATGGGCTCTTTGGGGACGGGGCACCAGAAGGGAACGTCGGCTTTCTCAGGCAGCCCTAATTTGGGATCCGGGGAGGGAGGGCTGAGCTGGTAGCTTTCGGCTCACCCGAAATGGCTGCCCCAAGAACCAGAAGTGCTGCTCCGTTGAGCCAAAAGGGGTGGCCGACTCGACACCTCCCGACCCTTGCCCGGAAGAACAAGATGGTGGAAGCCGTTTGCTCCTTCTCTCCCCACCCTTTTTCTCAGCCGCGGTTGGTCTTGGCTTCTGCGCCTCAGCAAATACTAGGCTGCGGGTTGTGGCAGCTTGCACAGCCCTGGGCAGCGCGGTGCTGCATCACTCCAGAAAACTCCCTGCCCCCCCCCCGCCTTTTTGTGCCAAGATGCTCCTGCTTGCGGTCAGCCCCAGGCGTGGCATCGTTTCTCTCTCGTTTTTTACTCCCAGCAGCTGCACAGGCGATCTTTTCACAAGAGAGCCAGTGGCTCCTTTTTATTACATGCAATAAATTATACCATAAATTAGGAAGAAATAAAGGAAGAAAAAGCCAAGCAGCCGGAACTGCCACGGCGAGCAAGAATCCCCTTTCATTCCGCCAGAGCTGCAATCACGGCGTGGGTGAAGTCGTCGGACGTGGCGTAGCCCCCCATGTCTGCCGTCCGCACCTGCCAAGACAAAAAAAAAGCACAGGTGCAGGAAACCCCTGGGCTGATCCGCTCCGGCGTTCCCATCGCGGCGGTTCAGTTGCCGTAAATTTTTCTGTGCCAATTTTTTTGAGGCCTTGCCAAAGATTGGGAGGCCGCCATTGGCGGAGCCAGAGCACTTGACCAGGGACCGGCCTCTGAGCATGGAGAGCAACGGGACCCTGAAGGGGTCTTCCCACAGCCGGGGAGGGGGTGGGGGAGCTGCCCAAATCTCAGCTGAGAAAAATACCTCCCGCTTTCAAAGGGGACTCCAGGAGGAGGTGGGGCTGGAAACGGCTTTGCCCCCACACCGGCCTTTTCAAAGCAGAGCCATCCTGTGCGATGCACGTTGCAAGCCCCTTTTTATGAGCTGGTCAAGGCAGCCTGAAGGCGGTTGGGAGATGGGAGGCGCCTGGTCGAGCCCCCCCTCTGGGAAAACTCCCCAAGCAGAGTGGGAGGGCACCCGGGGGCTGCCAGTAACCTCAGGGGCTGGCAAAGGCTAACATGGGGCAACTTTAGAATGACAAGAATTGGAAGGGATCTTGGAGGTCATCTACTCCAACCCCCTGCTCGAGCAGGAGTCAATATTCTAAATACTAGGCTCAAACTCCTAGCCTACTGATGGTGAGGGGAGAGCTCCACCTCTAGGCCACTGGAGCTGCTTCAGGTTTAGGAAGATGCCAGTGCCCCACAGACCCATCAGCCTTGCCCAGAATGGATAAAAGATATTCAGGTGGGTGGGGGGGCAAGGAAGAGGACAGGCACCTGTCAAAACCACCTGCTGTTTCCATTACAGCTAGTCCTCAACTTACAACTGAGTCACCTTTCCAATGGTGACCTACCTGAGTGGGGTGGGGGGGTATTTCTTTTGAAATTCCGATGGGTTGACACACACACACAGTTCGAGGCGCTGGGCTACCCAGCTGCAATTGTGGCCATGACACTTCCTTGCCTGGCTGACTTCGAGGAGCAGCACAAGCGGCCCAGAGCCGACCCAAGGGCCGCTTAACGGCAGCAGTTGCTTTGTGGCCACCCTGAATAAGCTTCCGAAATTGGGTCGGTCCCAGGAGGGCTGTCGTGGCTTGCAACCATAACAGGGAGACACACCACCCCCCCTCCACGGCAGCTCTTAACTCAAGGACTCCCTTTAGTGGCCAATCTAGCCCACATGTGACACCCAGAGCCGCTTCTGCCTTCAAACGAGGCAGCGTCGTTTCTGCTAGCATTTCTCACCCTGGGCGGATTCTCCGCCTGCTGCCCACCTTGGCCGTCCAAAGCACCAAGGCCCCTTGCAAGCCGCCTCTTCCTTCCCTATTAGGCCCCTCAGCGTATGCGGCATCCTCCCTGTGCCTTACCAGTGGCCCCCAACCTTTTTTGTGCCACGGCCCGGTACCAGCATCACAAAATGATCCATGGCCCGGTACCGGCATCAGCGCGCATGGCAAGGCGAGCCGAGCGACCGGCCAGCCAGCCGTCCCCCGCTTCTCCCTGCCACCTTCAACTCCTCCTTTGTACCTGTGTCGATGGGCTTCGCGACGGCTTCGGGACGGTCGCTCGGCTCGCCTTGCCATGCGTGCTGAAAGAATCCCCGCGCCTTAGTTTTGTTTGAAGCCGCCCACCCTCTATGAAACTAAGGCGCGAGGATTCTTTCAGCACCCAAACGCCGCTTTCTACCCGGAAAAGCTCACCGGAAGCATTTTTCCATCAAAACAAGATGGCGGCGCCCAGCAAACCGGCGGCCCGGTAGAAATTGTTCCACGGACCAGTACCAGTCCAGGGACAGGTGGTTGGGGACCCCTGCCTTAAAGCAGGGGGGTCTCCATCCTTGGCAACTTGAAGCCTTGGTGGACTTCGGCTTTGCTGGCTGGGGAATTCTGGGAGTTGAAGTCCCCCAAGGCTTAAAGTTGTCAAGGTTGGAGACCCCCCTGCCTTAAAGGAGCCACTCCTTCCCTTGGCACAGCCAAGAGACACCCCAGGGGAGGGGAGCTTAGGGGAAACCATGCCAGATGTTTTGCCGGAGACCAACAGAAGCTCCAGGAGTCCCGTCTCTGTTTTCCACCTCGGCTTCCCATCGCAGATGGCAAGGGGAGATAGATCTTCCTCCGGCTTCTTGAGAATAAATCTAATAATTTTAAGTGGCTCAGCTCTGCCAAGTTCCAGAAGGCAATGAAAGAGGAGATCGCCAGCCACGCCGTGGACACGGGGCTCCTCCAAGGCAGACCACGGGAGGAGCTGGGGGGGGGGAAAGGCTGGGAGAGGCTTTCGGTGGCTCCTCTGCCACTTGGAAGCCTCTTTTCCGGTCCAGAGAGATGATGGGGCTAATGGAGGGGGGTTGCTTTGGGGGGTGGGTTAGAGTGCAGCCCCCCCCCCCACCAAAGACAGGCGGGAACGGTGGCTGCTCAGGGGATCCAGGCCGGTTCTCTCCGTCACAAACCCTCCAGCCTGGATCCTTCTGGGAGCCTCATGGCAGCTGCCACGAACCGGCTAATGCGGACAAGCCGGAAGGAGAACCCTTTTATTCAGGAAAGGGAGTGGAGTCCTAGGTTACACGTCACACCCACAAGCCCCCAGCACCCCCAACAAGCCCTGGAAGACTCTTCCCCAAAGTCCTGCTGCTTTTCCGGACTTTCCCACGAGGCCCATGCTCCCCAGCCAGCTCTTCCTGGAGGCACTTTCCCTTTGACACACCCTTCCCGCCGCGGAGGCCAGCTTCCAAGGGGGCACCCCAGAGCACCAGGCCCCAGGCAGGCCCTTCCTTTCCCCCACCCCTGCCCCAGTCTCTTCCAGCTGGAGACGACCAGACCTCCGGAGGGCCTGGAGGGGTCAAGGGGCAGGAGGAGGAGGAGGAGGAGGAGGAAGGTGCTTTCTTCTCCCTTCTTGGGGAGGGGCCAGGGCTGCAGGGTGTATGTGCGTGTGTGGGCCAGCTAGATGCCATAGTGGGGATGCAGGTGGTCAATGACAGACTTGATGAAGTCCGAGGTGGTGGAATAACCGCCCATGTCCTGTGTCCGCACCTACAGGGGAGGGAAGAGAAACAGCCATCACAGACGGGACAGGAGCAGGACGCCAGAAGCACCCGGGCAGCCCAGGCAGGCCTTCCGCCCGCAGCGGTCAACCTGGCCAGGAGAAACCGCTCCAGCCTGCCTCCAGATGCCCTGGGACCCACCCCAACTCCGCCCCCTCCCTCTTTTCCCAGGCCTCTCACCTTGCCCATTTTGATCACCTTCTTCACCGCGTCTGAAATCATGGCCGAGTGGTGCTCCAGGCTGGTCGGGAGAGAGAGAGAGGAGGGGATGCAATCTCAGCAAGGGGTGGAGGGGGGGGAAGGACAGCTTGCCCTCCCCCCCACCCCCCACCCCCGATGGGCAGGGAGCAGCCTCTGGGACGCCCGACTCAAGCCCAGCGGCCCTGGCGTGGGCACCTACTTCAGATGGCGCAGCATGTTGGCCGAGGACAGCAGCATGGCCGTGGGGTTGGCGATGTTCCTTCCGACCGCCTGGGCAAAGGGGTGACGGGCGCCCTGCAAAAGCAGCCGAAAGGTCTCTGCAGAGGCCGCTTCCTCCTCTTCCTCCGGAACCCCCCCCCCGCTGGCCCTGGCCATCCCGCCCCCCCAGGGAGGGGAAGGGGCAGGCCCAGCCTGGTCCTCACCATCTCGAACACAGCGAAGTCGGCGCTGTAGCTCTCCCCTGGGACCACGCCAGCCCCTCCCACCAGGCCGGCTGCCAGGTTGTCGATGATGTTGCCGTACAAGTTGGGCATGACCAAGACGTCAAACTGGTAAGGGTTCTGCACCAGCTGGAAGACACACCCACATATCCCTCAGGCTCCAGAGCCTGCCTGGGCCCAATCAGGCCAGGGGCATCCCCACCTGGGCAGAGCTCTCCCCTGAGGGGCCGTTGGAGAAGAGGGCAGGGGGGGGGCTCCAGAAGTCCAGCTCCCTTCCTCCCTCTCCCACCCACCCCTAGGAAGCATCTTAACAACAAAGCCCCCCTGGGCTCCCCAAAGGCCTGTGTGCCACAGCAGTTCAGTTTTTTGTCAGTTTCCGATCTCTCGTTTGCAGGGAGGATCCAATCCGGTTACCCATGTTGCTCAGCCACAGCCCGGGATGTGGCCTCCAAAGAGCAGCCCCCAGGAAGCTGTGGCCTTGCGATGCCAACATCGCCAGCCCAGGACCCACAGCTGCTGTGTGCTGGGTATCCAAGGAAAGGGGCCCCACCCCAATCCTGGACTTCCACGGTCTTCAGGCCCTCCCTAAGCAGCCCCATTGGGGGAGGGGGCTAAAGGATGGACCTGCAGTGGCTGCTTAAAAGGCCTGAGAAGGCCCCACATGTGGGGAAATGGGGGGGCAGCTGACCAATTGGGGGCCTGGATTTGTTCTTTTCTTCTGCAAGAACCAAAAACGCCGTTTCCTTCTTTCTGAAAAATTATCTGGGCTCCCTTCACATAAAATTAAAGAGTTGGGACTCCGGCCCTTTGCCAAAGCCTCTCAGAGAAGGGGCTCCTCTGCTTCTGCTCAAAGCCCCAACTAACTAGGGCTAATATTGAGCCAGGATAATAAGCCACCGTTGCTGAGTCTGCAGAGACCCCGTTCTGACTTCCAGATCCAACCGGAGCAAGAAGGGCTGGCACCCAAACCACAAATTATCCAATCTAATTTGGGATTCTAAACAGACTGTTTCCCCCCCCCCCCCCCCCCAACTGCTGGCAGCTGCCCAGGTTGGCCTCTGTGGAAGAGGTCCTGGCCTCGCTGGTGCAGGCACCCTGCAGAGCCCCTCCCTCCCAGGCCCCCTCCCTCAGCCAGGCCTGAAGCGGGGCAGCCCTACCTGCATGCAGCAGTTGTCGATGATCATGGTGTCAAAGGTGATCTTGGGGTACAGCTCGGCCACCTCCTCGCAGCAGCGGAGGAAGAGCCCATCCCCCAGCTTCCTGGAAGGACCACGGACGAGAGGGACAAGTTCTCACAATGACCTGGATGGCCTGTAGAGCCAGGTGTGCTCCATGAGACGGCCAAGCCTTCTCTCCCTCCCCGCCACCTCCAGGCAAGAATGACCCAGCCGCAGCCTGAATCAAAGGGGCTGAAGAGACCCAGAGCACAGCGGCTTCTTGGCAAGCAGCAGAATCAGAAGGAATCGGAAGGCCTTGGAAGCTGCCGCGGTGGCTCTCCTGGGCAGCAGCATGGACACAAATGGTCCTAGAAAGGACCATGAAGGGCAGCTTCTGACCACCTCGTGCCCCATGGTTGGTGCTTCTTCCCAGGCCCAAAATTAAGCAGATGGAACAAGGCCTGTCCAACTTTCCAAGGCCTTTCTGTACCAAGGTAAAGGAAGAGAAAGGGGGGGGCTTCATCCAGTCCACCCCAACTTCTTCAATCACAACACACATTTTTGTTTTTTAACATATAGTGGCCTACAGCAGGTTCTTGGGCTTGTGTCAATTTTGCTGCAAAGCAGGTGCTTCCATTGGCTCCCCAAAGCTCCGAAGAGGTCATAGGAAGATCCTCACCCCTCACTCCACCCCGACCCACCGAGGGAGGGAGGCTTACTCACATGATATTGGCCTTGTGCACAGCAGTGACCTTGTTTCTCCCCTTCTTGGTGGCAAAATCAAAGGCAAATTTGGCAATGCGCTGAGATTTGGCCCGCGTGATGATCTTCAGGCATTCGATGACCCCCTTTGCACTCTGAACACAGAAAGAAGCACAAGCTGTCCGACTCGCTTCGGCTGGCCATTAAAAGGAGCAAAGCTCAACCGCTCCAGAGAGCCACATTTTGGATCAGGAGTCTGCTTTCCCTCCAACTGCAGCGTGGCCCAGAAGAAAAACCCAGGGAAGGCTTTGCTCGGTACTGCATTCTGGGAGTTGAAGTCCACAAGTCTTAAACTTGCCAAGTTTGGATACCCTTGGTTTAAAGCCTGAAGCAAAGCCCTCCTGCTCACCTGCAGATCTGAAAGGACACTCCCAGGTTTCCCTTCAGCCTATGGCAGGTGTTAAGCTGGTTGACGTTTACCCTGCTGGAAAACTGACCTGACACCCCCTCGCCCTGCACCCAATCTATAGGTCCTCAGTGGTCCCTTTCGGCTGCTGCAGCCACACTCCAGGTTCACTGGAGATGCCCCCCCCCCCCGCCCCCCCGCTTTGGAAGCCCAGTAACTGCTGCTAGTCAGAGGGACCATGACGCTCACCTCGTGCTCCAGGGAGCTGTACTCGCCCTCCGTCTGCTCACGGATGATGACCAGGTCCAGGTTGTTGTGCCGGGTTTTATAGCCAGGCAGGCTGCTCACGTGGACCACGTTGGCAAAGAGGTCGAGCTTGCGCCTGCAAGGAGGAGACGGGGGTGGGAGGGTTCCATCCTGCATCCCTCCTGCTGACCCCCCCACCCCAACCAAAGGGCTGCAGGAGGTGGAAACATACCTGAGCCTCATGTCATAGGAGGCCAGCTCCCCTTTGTACTCCATGGGGGTGTGGATCTTCCCTGCAAGGCCGAGAGAGCCCAGGCAGTGAGGGGGCTGGAGGGCAGCGAGCTCCCAGCCCCCTCCCCCCCTCCTGGGGGTCCCGGGCAGAAGCCTCACCGATAAGGGCCACCTTGCTCTTCTGCATGGACTCCAGCACCTGGTCCAGGATCTCCTCCGAGGCCAGGTTCTGCACCTCGCTCAGGTGGTGCTCGTCGAACTGCACCGGCACGCCCGCCACCTGCACGGGACAGCCGGTGACGGAGGGGAGGGGGTGAGTTTGACCCCGCGACCCCCCAATCCTGCCTCGCCCCTTCACACACACACACACACACACACACACGCTCACCTTGAAGACCTCCTTGACGGAGTGCATCAGCTCCGGGCCCACGCCGTCCCCCGGCAGCAGCGTCACCGGGAAAGCGCCGTCCGCCTGCAACGGGAGCGGGAGGGTCGGAAGGGCTCCCCGCGAGAACCCCTCCTCTCCCCCCCCCCCGCCCCGACGGGAGCCTCACCTGCGCCGGCTTCTGCAGAAGCGCCGCCGAGCTCGAGAGGCCCCGCAGGAACCGCTGCAAGACAGGGAGGGCCGAGTGAGCCGCCGCCCCCGCCCCCCCCCCGCCCCGCCACCCCCGGCACAGCGAGACCCGTCCGCTCACCCCGCCGGCGGAGGCCGCCCGGACGCCCTTCAGCGCTCCCGCCAGCGCCATCGCAGTCCCGGTAGTTCTCCGGGCACCGTAGGGGAAGAGCGGCGTCCGGTGTTCCGGTTACGCGACCGGAAGGGGCTGGCTCTCAGTTTCCACGGGCGGCTGTTCTGATTGGCCCTTGCCGGTCTCACAGCCCCATCCGGCCCCTTCAGTGGGCACTTGATTTGGGGGGGGGGGGATGCGGCACTTCCGGGCTTCAGTGCACTCGGAGGAGGAGGGGCCAAACCCAGATTTATTTGTGTTTTTAAGAGGGAGGACTTCAACTCCCAGAATCCCCAGCGGCTTCTGAGCTGTAGAAGGCTGACTTATTTATCTATTTTATTTTTATTTAGTTTAGTTTTTCAAGCATGTATGAGAAAACAAGCCTAAGTATGAACATAACATATAAACATATAAGTATAAACAGGTTTAAGTATATACATAACAAATGAGTACGAATAAATGGGAACAGTAGGACAGGGACGGTAGGCATGCTGGTACGCTTGTGAATGCCCCCTTACAGACCTCTTAGGAATGGAGTGAGGTCCATGGGAGATGATTTTCTTCTTCTTCTTTCTTCTTCTCCTTCTCCTTCTCCTTCTCCTCCTCCTCCTCTTCCTCTTCCTCTTCCTTCCCTATTACCATTGTCATTCCACACAGAAGGAAAAGTCAAGATGTGGAACCAGAAAATGCCAGCACTGTAGGACAGAGACGGTACACACCCTGGTGCGCTTATGCACGCCCCCTTACAGGCCTCTTAGGAATGGAGTGAGGTCCACCGGAGACAGTTTAAGGTTAAAGTTTGGGGGGGTTTGAGGATGACTTCAACTCCCAGAATTCCCAGGGGCTTCTGAGCTGGTCTCGGCTGCAGAGGGCTGACTTGGATGTGGTCAGACTGCAAGGGTCGTCTGGATGCAGTTACGGTAAATAAACACAATAATAAACAATAAATAAACCGTGAATAAAGCTCAGCTTTAGGGTGTTGCAATTAAGCTCTCACGAGCCCCCCATTTTAGCCCTACAGGGACATTTTGACTCAGAAAATGAAAATATTCCTCCAGTGACTGGGGAGAAGGCAAAGGCCTCGTCTCGGCCTGGGCTTTTCTGGAAAGCCCCTTTCCTGGCACTGTGGCTGCCGGCCAGGCGCCACTTGGGCAGGGGTGGCCTTTGCTGCAGTTACTCCTGTGGCCAGCTAGGCTTTCGCTTCCACCCAGGGACGCCACCTAACCCTGAAGTTGCAAGCTGTGGAGGAGCAGTGGGGCGGCAGGGGCACCCTCGGCTTCGGGGTGAGGGGCCGGTCGGGGGGGCTCAGTGCTACTTTAAGGTGCTCTGTCCGGTTCATCTGTCCCTATGCAGACTATTTCCATTTCTACAGCAGCTCACTCCAGCCAGGTTGCTGGTGGTCATCCAGCCTCCATCCAGGGACAACTTTTGCAAAGCAACTTTTAGGAAACGACCAGTTTGCCCAAATGGCTGCAGCCTTCTCATCCAGAACCTTCTGGAACAGGGGGTCTCCAACCTTGGCAACTTTAAGACCTGTGGACTTCAACTCCCAGAATTCTCCCAGCTGGCTGAGGAATTCTGGGAGTTGAAGTTCACAGGTCTTAAAGCTGCCAAGGTTGGAGACCCCTGTTCTGGAACACTAAAACATTCCATCCAGAAATGGAAGCTGCCAAAGAAGTTGACGGCTGGGAAACAGATTTATTGATGTGGCTCCTTCCTTCCGCAGGTGGAGAGGCCCAAGGTCAACACATCTCCCTCCCCCCAGTTCCCATTAGCAGCCCTGGGGGTGCTAATGAGCTGAGCCTGAAGAGGTGTTAATGGGTGGAGAGAGGTGAAGGAGAAGCGGTGCCTTCCCATTGGACAGGCTGCCTGGGAGACAGGGGCTTGAGGATCTTTGGGTCTTTGCTCCACATACACATACACACACACCTAGGAAAAAGCTGGCCTGTCTTCCTATTTGAAGGAAGCGCCTCTCCTTGGCCAGAGGAAAGGTGGCAGCCCCGTTCCGCCTCAGCAATGGAGCCCTCACTCAACAGGGCCAGTGAGGTCTCTCCGGGAGGCTCCACAGGAGGCCCAGAGAGCAGGTTGTGCTGGGCTCTACCAGCCCATGCAGGCCCTTTGCACAGCCAAAGGCCGATAGTACCATGCTGTTCCCAAGCAGCTTCCTGCACCTCTCCATCCTTGCTGAATTCGGGAAAGGCTGGCCTGATGTGGTTGAAGAAGAAGAAATAATCCCCAGGCTGTAGACCAGATTGTGAGGTTTAATCTCCCCGGCCAGAAAAGGTAATGCAGTTGTATGTCGGTCAGGTCTTTGAGAGGACTCAAGTAAGAGTCCCCAAACTTGGCAACTTTAAGACTTGTGGACTTCAACTCCCAGAATTCTCCAGCTAGCTATGCTAGCTGGAGAATTCTGGGAGTTGAAGTCCACAAGTCTTAAAGTTGCCACGTTTGGAGGCCTCTGGTCTAAAAGAAGACCGAGAAGAGGGCTGTGGCAGCAGGAAAGCCGTTCCCGCTGGAGCAAAGAGAACAGCTCCCCTTGGGACCCAGACTGAACCAGGCAGCTGGCACAGCATGTCAAAAGAGCAGTCTTGTTGCCCACCCACCCCACTCAAACTCCTGGGAAGGAGGTCATCCAAGAAAGCCAGTTGCAAGCAGATTGAGACCTGAGCCCAGAAAAAGCCTTTCTTTGCAAACCTGTGGACTGTGGACTTTCATTGCTGACCTGTGGAATTAATTCCTGCAAAACGTGTTGATGGTCACTGAAAGAGATCCGTCAGCGGAGGACTCCGCCTTGGGCTCTCTATTTTAGTGCATTTTAAAGGCAGTTGGCTGGGTGGGGAATTCTGGGAGTTGAAGTCCACAAGTCTTAACGTTCAGAAGTAGCTTATGCATCATTCAGCCTACCCCCAGATGGGCTTTCAATCTGAGAAATGATGATTATGATGATGCCACTTCCTGGCTGCCCTCCATCTCATTAAGCCAGTCTCCCATAAGACTAATGGCTGCCTTTGTACCTAGCACAGAGGGGTGCCATAGTTGTTTTTTTTAGTTTACTTTATTGTCACTACAACAAAATTAAATGCCATCTTCAGTGTACATCATGACTATGAAAATAAACACAAACACACATCCTTCACACTCCACACATTGAATTGAAAACCCCTGGTATTGCATTAATATTGCACTATACATTAGAATTACAGTAGAGTTACTGCCCTGGGATAGAAGCTGTTTTTCAGCCTATTTGTCCTTGTTTTTATTATTCTGTACCATCTACCAGATGGTAATATTTTTTTTAAAAAAGGGTGCCCAGGATGATATGGATCTTTGAGGATGTTTTGAACTTTCTTTCTTTTTAAAAAAAGTTTTTATTGGTTTTTAAAAACAAACATAAACAAACAGAACATAAAAACGTCAAGCCATCTTCCATATGTATACATACAGTGTGCCAGTTGGTTTACAAGTTGTTTGTGCTTCCATTTCTTCAATTACAATTACATTGCATATAATCTCGTATTTTCAATCAAAAATTAAATACCTTAGTATCATTATTAGTCAATCATTTAACTATACTTTTATTCATTCATGTTTTACAAGATAATCATAATTTACTTAGTTTGTTTTATAACAGTTCATATTATCATCCCAAATCTATCCTAAAATCATTCTGTAGATATAATAAGAAATAAGTACATCTTTATATATTTATTATTTTCTAAAAGTCTACATATTTCATTACTGTATTTTATTGTCTAACCATTTATAGAACAGATTCCCAATTTTATAAAATTGTTTATCCTCTTGTTCTCTCATTTCAAATGTCAATCTACTCATTTCAGCACATTCCAAGATTTTCTTAATGATTTCCTCCTGTGATGGTGTTTTCTCATTTTTCCAGTTTTTGGCAAATACAATCCTAGTCGCTGTTAATACATTTACAATCAGATATTTCAAGTCTTTACTATATATTTCAGGTAAAATTCCCAATAAAAATAACTCTGGTTTCAAGTCTATATGTTTTTTTGTCATTTTTCCCAACCATGTGTGGATTTTAGTCAAGTATTTTTTAGCATCCGCACAAATCCACCACATATGGTAATATGAGCCAGGTGTCTGATGACATTTCCAACTTTTTTCGGATTTATTCTTGAACATTCTTGCTATTCTTGTCGGGGAAATGCCACCTGTAAAACATCTTAGACAAATTTTCTTTATATGCTGTTGACATTGTCATTTTATAATTTTGGGACCACAATTTTTGCCATTTCTCAAAATCAATCCCATATCCAAAATTCTTCCCCCAAGCAATCATAGTTTCTTTAACTTGTTCTTCTTCTAATTTAATTTCTAATAAATATCCATACAATTTTTAAATCACCTTTTCATCAGTACCTGTCAAAGTCTTATCTAAAGCAGTCAATTTATCATAGAAACCTTCCATTTTAGAAAAAAAATCTAATTTTTATTTATATACCCTATGGCTATTATTAAGTGTTGCACTTTATGATTCTTGACAAATGCATCTTTTCTTTTATGCACACTGAGAGCATTTGCACTAAGACAAATTCCTTGTGTGTCCAATCACACCTGACCAATAAAGTATTCTATTCTATTCTACCTATTTTATCCTGTTTGATTGCTTATTAGTAACCTATACTATCACTAAGTGTTGTATCTTATGATTCCTGATGAATTTATTTATTTTTTCTTTTATGTACACTGAGAGCACTTGCACCAAGACAAATTCCTGTGTGTCTAATCACACTTGGCCAATAAAGAATTCTATTCTGTTCTGTTCTGTTCTGTTCTGTTCTGTTCTGTTCTGTTCTATTCTATTCTATTCTATTCTATTCTATTCTATTTGTTTCTATTACATTCCCTACCACTGTGGCCAAATTAAAATACACCTCAGATTTGGTTTTGGCAGTCTTAATAAAATAAAATATAAAATAAATAACATAAATACTTTATAAAATAAGCCAATAAAACCCCTTTCCATCAGCCGCATCTTGGGAGCCAAGTGTCCCTGAGCATCTGAAGGTGCCGAGAGGGGCTTGGCATTGTCTCTCACAGGGAGGAGAGACCCCCTAC